GTGGGGTGATGCGGTGAGGGGTGGGGCAAAGGGGTGATGGATGAGCTTAAGGGGTGGGAATGAAGGGGTGTGGGGTGAAGGGGTATGGGATGACAGGGTGAAGGGCGGGAGTGAAGGGACGAAGGGGTGACAGGGTGAGCGGTGAGGAAGGGGTGACGGGGTGACCGGCAGTGGTGATGGGATATAGAGTGATGGGGTCAGGGGGTGGGGGTGATGGGGTGGCGGAGCGAGTGAGATGAGGGTAAAGGGGTGATAGGGTGTGGGGCGGGGTGAGGGGCAGGGTGAAGGCATGACGGGTGTGGGGCAATGGGCTGAGGGGTAGGAGTGAAGATGTCATGGGGTGAGGGCTGGAGGTGACAGGATGAGTGCTGGGGTGACGGGGTGAAGGGGTAGGGGTGATGGGGTGAGGAGCGGGGGGTGAAGGGGTACAGGGGGATGGGTGAGGATGAAGAGGTGATGGGATGAAGGGAGTGGGGCAGGAGCAGAGGGTGACAAGGTAAGCGGTGCGAGTGGCAGGGCACAGGATTGGAGGGTGAGGGGCAGGGGTGAGGTGTGGGGGTGACGGGATGCAGGGTGACGATGGAGGGGCTGCGCGGTGGGGGTGGGGACAAAGGGATGGGTGGGGCTCGGGACAGGGGTGAAGGGGTGCTGGGATGAGGGGGCACAGGGGTGGAGGCATGCAGGGTGAGGGGCAGGAGGTGAAGGGGTGACAGGATGAGGGCAGGGGACAGGGGTGAAGGGGTCACAGGGTGGGGGGCGGAGGTGAACGGGGTGCAGGCGATGAGTGGGCGGGGCGCAGGACGGGGCAGAGGACTGCTCCCATGCAGAGGAACCCGGCGGGGTGGGAACCCTACACCCGCAGCGCTGTCTTTCTGGAAGGGCTTCTGCAGCCCAGGAACTGTAGGTGCCCCCCAAAGACGTGACCTCCTGTGTGCGCAGAGGTGCGGGCAGGGGATCAGAGGACGTGGGCGGGGGGGACGACACAGATGGACGCAGGGGGGACACAGATGAATGCGGGGGGGACA